ACTGCAAGCAGGTATGGTTGACAGCTCTCTGTGATGCCTTCAAGGTGCTCCTTGATGCTGGTTCTTGTCTGTGGCAAAAAACAGAATAAACATTATTAGTCTTAGGTTTCAAAGAAGACAGGGTTCTAATAGATAAGGCAAATACTTTTCAGGATATCTTAAATGTCACTTGAAATGAAATTGAAGACCAATTTCATAAATGTTTCCTTTACTCTAACCTTACCTTGACAAACTTCACAAGATGTTCACTGGCTTGTCTGGCTGAGAGTATTCCCTGGTCTCTTGTATCCAGGAGGTGACTGTGCAGGAGGTACACCAGGATCAAAATGGATGACATGTCACTGTCCCATCCTAGAAGAAAAAGTTAAAGAAACATGTTACCAAAACTTCTTATTTGCAACCATGTTAATACTTCCAGAGAAAGCTTACAAATCTAACTAACAGCAGGAGGAGGTGCACTTATATTGAACCAATTCAAATAAATTCTGTTACATAAAACACTTTCTTTATAAGTAATTGCAACTTACCATTTTCCACTTCTGTTGTGCCTCAGCATTGTAAAGGAGGTTCTGAAGGTCATCAGACTGTGAGACTGCGGCTTTGTTTGAGGACTTTATGCTTGTAGACAGTGGCACTTCTCAGGGAACTTTGCAGAGATGGCTTCCCCAAACATCAACATAAAATCTTGCTCAACCTGGAGAATAGATGAAGTGAAGGTTTAAAAATCATTTTGTTAAGTTTTCTTATTTAAACTTTGTTGGTTAAACTGAAGTGAAAATAAACATACCAATCCTCCTATGTCCAGGAATCTTGGGAAGTCCAAAAAGATACTAGATGACTTTGCTGGGTCATGAATCATCTTCTGACGAGAGTTGAAAGTCTGTTTCATGTTCCTCATAACAGTCTCTTCATCAGCTGTGTGCTTCATCAGTGATTGCACTGAGAAGCACACAGCTGATGAAGAGACAAGCGATCTGTCAGAAGATAGTCTTCTTCTCTCAAACAGTCTCTCTTATCAGTTGTTGGTCCCCTAAAAAACATATATATGTGAGACTCCATGTTAGGATTCAAATAAGGCTTGGGAACTTATTGTGCAGTTTGGTTGCAGGATGAAATGGTACAAATATAAATCCATATACCTGTTGGGTTTGTGACAGTCTGGGGACATTTTTTGTCCATTAGAAGCTTCCCTCTGTACAAACTTCAGTCTCCAAGCCAAATACCCACTTCCATCTCTGCATTGTAATAATGCTCCTAAAAGTAGGTGAATGACAAATGTTTTTAAAGTTGTCAAAACAAAGACAACCGTGACAACTTACACAATTTGCATATAAAGCACAACTTGAATTCTGTTTTTTTTTATTATTATTTTATCGTTGCTCTACGAGCTGCAACCCTAGGATTCACTAAAATAATACTATGCTAGTAATTTCAAGAGAAGTTACTAGCATAGCCTTCTCGCGCTTTTTTCTGGGCGGAATACTGACTCCACATGCTAGCAGAGCTAGCTCCGACAGTACAGCTCAGTCTCTCAGCTTAAAAATAGCGACAGCCTCGACTTGTGAAAATAAATAATGGACGAAGCATTGGACAGCACTGATGTTTTTTCTGCTTACATTGCTGTAAACTGCTAAATTAAGATAGCTGAAGTACACATGCTAACTAGTTAGCCAACCATGTTAATTCCTCGCTGCATCCCTCCTTCCCCCACAACCATACAGCAGCACCTTATCACACCTTTAGTCTTATATATATATATATATATATATATATATATATATATATATATATATATATATATATATATATATATATATATATATAAATCCACGTAAATATATCTAAAACCCGTTTGGGGACTTACCTGGCACATAGCTAACCTTCGCCTCCGTTTCCACTGCGGGATGACCAAGATGGCGGAAGAAACGAAACTTAAGGAACTTCAGTGGGCGTGGTCTTGTTTTACTCCGATATAATTTCCTCTATTTTTTACTCCGATTCTATTGACCAACTGAAATGATTTCACTCTCTAATGTATAAATTGACTCTTTTTGATGAAAAATAATGTTAACTCCGAAAAAATTACTCTCTATTTTCCTGTGTATGTGCTCTGTTCCAGGAAGGACAATGCAACCATTTCACCTGACACCTAGTGGACTATTATTGGACAGTCTCACCCCTGAGAAAACAAACTTAAATGTTATTATCTCACTGCAATTTACATGTTTGTCATCTTGAAGGCTTATGTTGTTCATGTTTGTTTTTTTGTTATTGTTGATTTTCCTTGGTCTTTTATACTTGTGTGAGTTACTTATCTTTGTACCTCTTTTAAAACACAAAAAGCAATAAACAAGTAAAAAAAATGCTCTGATAAATGGGTGAACTCTTTATTGGAATCACAACATCCCATTTCCTGCCTGAGCTGTTTATGTTTTGACTTGCCATCATTACGCCACAAGATGGCACTGGCATTTGACCTAATTCCTACAAACGTACTGTGACACTGCAATGCCTTGGAATTTATAGCAGTCTATGGTAAATATTTATTATTTAAAACTTTCTGTGCACACAGACTTCCATCTTTTTAAGACATGCAAGTGGTTTTATCATGGGAGTGACACTTTAAAGTAATAAATACATTGACAATTTTATCGCCAAAAATCAAATGAAATATATTGTAAATAAGTTTCAAATGTCATAATGTCCAATGAATGTACAAATCCATCAAAAATTCATCCCCTTTCAGTGGTGAATGTTGAATGTTCAAGTAATGGTATGAATCTTATAGTGATGCTGCTTGTGCCCTTTGGTGCCAATTCTAGACTTACTAGCTTCTTCCAACTCAAATCACAGATAAGCCCTTCATTGGACTACTTTTGGTCCAAATTATAGGCAAATCAGACTATTCTCTGTGGTGCTGAAGTGCTTTGACAGTCACTTTGTTTTTTTTTTTTTTTTGATTGTGTCCACTGAAGCACATGACTGATTTTCACAAGTCATGTGAATGTGTTTCTTCCATGGAGCTGTAACATTAAAAATGTAAAACACTATCCATTTATGCTTTATTGGTTTCATAGCAGAAATGTTCATTTTCTGGAGCACTTTCATTTCATGTCACTAATTCACATGTGTTATTAATGAACCGAATAAGTTATTTCACAGATTGCTGAAGTATAATTCTTTCATTAATCAAAAACACAGCTGCCTGTTGGGCACTTTGTTCCCTTTTATCTTAAAGCAGAGTGCAGCCCAGCTCTGCTCTGTGTCTTAAACAGCTGCTGTGCTTTTCTGAGAAGCTTCGCTGTGGGTTGCCTCTCCTGATGTAAATCACATCACTGCTTGGCTCGTTATTATAATAAGCTTCTCTCAAGTGTGAACGTTTCTGCTAATAAACCTGCAGGCATAGTTTTATTCCATCCTTAAGCTGCAGAACCTATATCAGTTGTGAATGTGTTTTATGTGATGATTGTTCAGCTTCACCGATATTTCAGTCTCAGAAGATGCTGCATCAAACACTAATGTAGGTCTTAATTCATCCAGTAGAATGCCTTCCATAATACAGCTGGTCAGCTATTGTTTTGATTGAGCTATATTTTACTTCAAAAGCTTAGGGCTAAATTTTAGGGTCCCTGGGATTTTAAAGCAATACTTACATGTGATCTATTGTAGTATACTGCAAGTGAAATAGAAACAGCTGGATTTGTTCTTATTTTCAGGCTTATCCTTCAGCATAATGGAACAAACAACAGAAAATATCATCCCTACCTCTTATTTATTTATTATGTTTGAAAAACTGAATCAAAACTAACAAAAGCTTTACAATTTAAACCCACACATTTTTACACAAAATAATTGTCTTTTTAGGGTTAATTTACTACCAATTTTTATTGTAATAACTGACATAAATTGTTGGGCATGATTCTTTATCTACATAATTCAGAAAGATAAAATGTGCTTCCTTTGTTATGTAATGGTCATTTTGTTGACCATTATTACCACATTTACTGTTATTTACCTAAAAGGATATATTTTTAAAAACCTTTGCTAATCAATGCACTTACTTTCCTATTACTCATATTAACTGCTGATAATTGGATCAGGTAAAAGAAATGCTTACAGTGTTGTGTGTCTCCCTGTGTGTGATCCACACAAAATAAGGACACAGGTAAATCATAGTTGGGTGGCTCTTTTGGAGGACAAACCTGCTGTTGGTGCCTTTATTAAATTTTTTTTGTCCAGTCCATGGTTGGTTTGGAAAGCAATATTATACTGCAAAATAATAACATTAGCACAGAAATGTATGTATGAAATGTGGATTGATTGAGTTCCACAGTAAAACACATTATTGTATAAACCACTGTGCAGACATGCTGTCTATTCCACCTCATGCTTGGAATTTTAAACACTATTAAATTCAAAATAAATTACCATCAAGGCAAAGGTATGTGTGTGTCACTTTTAGTTTCTGTGCTGCAGCTGAACACTGTTTGCATTCTCAACTCTATACTGAACAAAAGATAACTTATTTCAAGCAAATTGCACAGAAAGCCAATGGTCCGACGAATACTACACTCTTATAAGTGATTTTGGAGATGGACCTGGTGATGGGTAGTTTGACTTTTAAGAGAGCTGGTTCTTTTGGCTTGGCTTCCAAAGAAGAGTCAGCTCTTTCAACTCCAAAACACCTTTTCTTAATATTGTATAATATTTTCATCAAATTTTCAATTTCATTTTGCAAAAAACAAGTGTACAAAACAATACTAGCTACTAAACAGAACCTATAATAGTAACACCAGTATCCATCACTAGTTGGACCTGATCAAAAGAATCTGGATTTGTGGGAGCCTAGGTGTAACAATAGAAGAAAGTACACAGGTTATAGAAAAGTAGTAGAATTTACTTAGTATTATAGATTTATGTTTACATAATATTACAATAAACAACTGTGTGCCATCTTTATAAAATAATAAAAAAACAGTCCTTTTTAATATGTCTGTCAAATATTTTTTCAATGTGTCATTTATCAGCAGTTTACTGAATCCGTTTCTTTTGTTCCAGAAAATGGTTCTGGATCATTTGTCATGCTTTTGGGTAGTTTCTTTTCCCACATGTAGAACACAGTCAGGAGGCAGATGATAAAAGATAATAAAGTTTATTGTACAAAGATGATTATGAATGCGAGTCTTCAGTCGGGGAGATCGGGAAACCAAGAGTTGGTGCCAGGGAGATCCTGAGACTGTCCAGAGGAACAACCACCAGGTGGTGGAGGACGGACATATTCCCAGGCATTAAGGAGTGGAGTTGGAAGTTGCCAGCTGTGGTATGTGATCGGGAGGTAGAGACTAGAGGAATTTGAAGGGATTAATCCAGGAACGTCTTCAGAAGAAACCTGAAAAGAAAGGACACGTAGAGGTCAATCGCAGAGCTAATCAAACCTTCACACAAAGAGTAACAATGGTTGAACACTGAGGGCTCAGAGTACCATAAGGGCTAAGACTCGGGCGTCGAGGGATTGGCAACAACTCCTCTTATCCTCTGGCTGATGAGCCCAGAAGAATCGCAGGTGTGCGGGATGTATACCAGGTCCATTCTCCACAACGGCTCATAGGCTCCACCAGCCTCCTGACCCTCCCACCGCCCTCAACGGTCGCCACCTGGCGGCTCAGAAGACCAGGACGGCAGGGAAACATGGCAGTCAGAAATAAGATCATCATCCAAAATAAAAGAACAGGGCACCCACATGTGCTCCTCCAGACTGTAGCCCTCCCATTCGACAAGGTACTGCCAACCTCAACCCCCTTCACGGGAGTCCACGATCTGGTGGACCTCATAAGGTGGTTGCTCCTCAATAACTCAGGCAGATGGCGGGGGCTTGGAAGGAGGGCACAACGTGCTGGTCTGGACAGGTTTGATCTGGGATACGTAGAATGTGGGATGAAGAGAGGGGTGAAGGCGAAGTCCGACTGCTGTGGGACTGATTATGAAATCAATCTCATACAGGCCAATGTATTTGGGGGCGAGTTTTATGGAAACGGACTTGAGAAGCACATTACGTACTGATAACCAGACCTTCTGTTCAGGTGAATATTGTGGAGCAAGAATTCTTCTGCAGTCAGCTAAATGACGGTTCTGTTCTGAGGTGCGATGTAAGGCTTCGATGGTTCTGGACCAGATGTGTTTTCAGCGGAGTATGTGATGGTGGACTGAGGTAACAGAGATTTCTTTTTCATCTGTAAGAAAAAGTGGAGGTTGATAGCCAAGGGAAACTTCAAATGGGGACAAACCAGTAACGTGTGAATTATGTCCATACTCAACCCACAGAAGCTACTGGCTCCAGTCTGCCTCACCTCATCAACACTCAGATGAGGTGAGGCATCTGTGTTTTGATTCTAATTCTTGGTTTATTTTTTCTCTTTGTTCATTTGATTGACGATGGTAACCAGAGCATCTGGTGACTTGAGCATCAAGAGTAGTTTCCAGTCTTGAGATTTGAACTGGGGACCACGATCAGATAGAATCTCTTGGGGAATGCTATGGAGTCTGAAAATATGCTTGACTAGGAGCTGAATTGTCTGGAAGGCAGTGGGTAGTTTTCTGAGGGGAATAAGATGAAATAAATTGCAATGTGAGACCAGGGACGTTTAGGGATGGCTAATGGCTGAAGGAGACTGGCAGGAGGCTTATGGGAGGCCTTGCTACGGAACAGGCTAGGACATACTCTTTGACATTTTTATGGAGAGATGTCCACCAGAAACGACGGTTAATCAGGGCAATAGTTTGGCTTATTCCAGGGTGGGCAGAGAACTTACTGTGTGGATCCAGTGTGTGAGGCAAGCTCTAACTGAGGTGGGGATAAAAGTTCTATTTTGAGGGACCAATACCAGGGTCATGTTCAGTGAGATGGGCTTGTTTTATGGAATCTTCTATGTCCCAGGAAACTCCTCCAACTGTGCAACTGGTTGGACAGTTGCACAGGCTAGGGGTTTTGTCTTGGTCATCTGGAGAGAATTGTTGGGAAAGAGCATCTGGCGTGACATTCTTAGAACCTGGGGCATAAGAGATGGAGAGGATAAAGCATGAGAAAAATAGAGACCAGCAAGACTGACAGGGGTTAAGATGTGAATTAGAGGTATGAGAGATTCTTATGATCAGTCCAGACCAACATGGGAAACTCTGCATCCTTCAATTAATGAGGCCACTCCTCCAAGGCAAGTTTTATGGCAAGAAGCTCTCAGTCCCCCACGTGGCAGTTGTGCTCAGCAGAGGACAGTCTGCAGGAATAAAAGGCACAAATATGAGTCTTGTTATCAGAGGATGATTGTGAGAGAACTGCACCAACCCCTGTTGGTGCAGTGGCATCGACCTTAAGTCAATGCCACTCAAGGTCAGTGGCATCGACCTTGAGAATTAATTGTTTATGTTGATCAGGTTGAATGAGAATGGGGCTTTGCAAGAGGTCAAGAAAAGGTGAATTGGTTTCCGGAGTCCATGAGAATGAAATTTTGGTAGAAGTGAGAGCAGTTCACTGCGGTCTGACTGTGGTGTTTAATGAAGCGGCCATACAAGTTAGCGAAACCTAAAAACCTTTGAGGTTATTTGCATGTCTCAGGTAGGGGACAATTCAGAACAGATCTGTGTGAACCTGTCTGCCCTTGAGGATGTAACCAAGAAATGAGATAGATGTCTTATGAAATTCACACTTCTCTGCTTTTATATAAAGACAATTCTTGAGGAGACACTGAAGAATCAGGTGGACCTGTTTTTGATGTTATGCAAGGGATTTGGAGTAAAAGAGAATGTCATCTAAATATACAAAAACAAAGACATTCAGGAAATCACGAAGAATGTTGTTAATCAGTGCTCAGAAAAATGTGGGAGTATTACAGAGTCCGAAGGGCACGACAAAATATTCAAAATGTCTGACGGAGTTTTTTAAAACCCCATTGGACATTTTGTTTTCCACTCATCTCCCTCTCTACTACGTACGAGGTGGTAGGCGTTACGGAGGTCTAATTTGGTAATGTGGGTTGCTCTATAAACAGGTTTGAGCGCTGAGGAGATAAGAGGTAATAGATATTTATTTTTTATTGTGATGTGATTCAGACCCCTGAAATCAAGGCAAGGATGCTGGGACCCGTCCTTTTTGCCCACAAAAAAAAACCCCAAGCGCCAAGTTTCCATTACCTCTCTCAGGATGGAACATGTTGAAAAGTCAGGTGGTGGGTAAGGGCACTCCAGGAAGTAAATCAATAGTACAATTGTAAGGACGATGAGGTGGGAGAGAGAGTACTAAAAACCACTCCCAGATTGTGATATTTAGTAGGGATGAGAGAGAGATCCGGAGGGTCAGCCCCATCAGGATCTGCTGGGCTGGAACCTGGAGGAACGGTGGACCGTAGGTGTGGCAGTTGAGAGACCAGGATTCTATGCCCAAGTCTCGAACCCCACACAGAACCCAAATTCCAGCTTCCTGACATTACTTTTCCAGAACCATGTAGCCATGTATTTATGGAAAAATGCAGTCTTCTCTACACCACTGTTGAATCTTGAACAAAAAAAAAAAGAACTACGTAGAACCCAGCAGAAATAAAGTAGCTTATACACTGGCTTAATGATAAATGTTGAGAAAATAGGCACAAAATTTTACTTCACAAATATATTCTGGATCTGAAAAAAACTTCAAACAGTTGTCTTGATCTGTTATGTTTTGCTGCAGTTGACATATCTTTGTACTTATAATTGTAGTGTTGTTTTGCACTGCAAAAGTACAGTCCACTTAAACTAGGTTGAAACATGGCAGTTTTTAACAAGCTGAGAGTGTCGCCTCACAGGGCTTTGAACTCCGTCACTCTTCTTTTGCAGTGACAAACGGGGACAGGGACCAGCACACCATCTGTGCTGCATTAGCTGCAGAGGCTGTCATGATTGACAAAACTGGTAACAGCGACACCCATTTCAAACTCCTGTCTGGCTCTGGGTTGCTACAGATGAAGAGTGATGGCTTGCCACATGGGTTCTTAGTACGGTATATAACTTGGGGATGGCTTCAGCCTGGAAAGAAACAAGCTCATCTCTGGTGTGGATAAGGATGACACTGTGCCACATGCTTGATAATAGCTGCCTCAACTTGGGGAATAAACAGAGGGATGTTTATAATGAGATTGTGTTGTAGGGCCTATGATGGTCCCAAGCTCCCACAGTCTACACAGACCATTTAGTTTGCAGGCTTGTTCTGTTAAAGTTATTTGTGCATCTGCAGAGGGTAGAATTACACGGAGATGGGAGAAATTATCAGGGGACAGCATCAATCATGCTTTGAAGGTAAACAAAGACACGTATTTGTAAGAAGTGAATGATGAATGAAGAAGCTCTGCTTGTGCATTCAAACTGCAAAACAAGGCTCAAATGTATATAAACAAAGATTAATTAGAGAGATGAGGGGAAGCATTTTCACTGTATCAGCAATAGACACAGATCACTTACCAGTTTCAAGATATTGTGTGTATCATGTTGATGGACCCAAAGGCAACAAGCAAAAGTGTTGGGCTGATTTTGGAGTTTTAATAAAAATAGGAGGAGAAAAAAAAAATACAGAGAACATAGGGAGGCAGAGCAGAAACAAAAAACACAAGAACCAGGATGAAAAAGTCAGCATCATGCAACAGTGAGGTAATGGGATTTAATGGGAGGAACCAGCAAGGAGGAACTGAGAACTAGAAACAGGTGGCAGATGTGTTCAGTCAAAATAATAATTTACTTTTATTCAGTTATTTGTTTTCTTTTTTTTTTTGTCCATATAATTTCTCTCTTCATTGTGTGAAAAAGGGGCAGGAGACAGGATGGGACGAAACGCTATTTATCTGAAGGGAACAGAATATGTAGCAGTGAGGACTCACAGGTTCACCGCAGTAGGTACACCACCTTCCAAGGAATAGCATTTTACATCAACAACTTTTGTTTTGACAGGACTATTTCTTTTTCTTTTTTTAACTGTTAGCGCTATTTTTTAACAGGATAGAGACAAAGTGGAAGTGTAAATATACTTGTTTGAAGTGTTAAGATAATTTACATTGTAAAGTCTATTTTAAGCTGAATTATAGTTCACCAAAGTATGTTCAATCAATCAATCAAATTTTATTTGTATAGCACATTTCAGCAGCAAGGCATTTCAAAGTGCTTTACATCATAAACACAAAAACACAAAGTGAAGCATCATGGAATAAACAATACATTGTTACATATTACATTTCAAATACAATTCTAAACAGGTGTGTTTTTAGTTGAGATTTAAAGAAAGTTAGGGTTTCTGCTGTTTTGCAGTTTTCTGGACATTTGTTCCAAATTTTTGGTGCACAGATGCTGAAAGCTGCTTCTCCTCTCTTGGTTCTGGTTCTGGGAATGCAAAGCAGACCAGAACCAGAAGACCTGAGGGTTCTGGAAGGTTGATACAACAACAGCAGATCTTTGATGTATTGTGGTGCTAAACCGTTCAGTGATTTATAAACTAACAACAGTATTTTAAAATCTATTCTTTGAGCTACAGGGAGCCAGTGGAGGGACTTTAAAACTGGTGTTATGTCTATCTTCCTGGTTTTAGTGAGAACACGGGCAACAGCGTTCTGGATCAGCTGCAGCTGGAGGATTGATTTGTTGGACAGGCCTGTGAAGACGCTGTTACAATAATCAATGCGACTAAAGATAAATACATGGATGAGTTTCTCTAGATCTGGCTTAGACATTAGTCCTCTAATCCTGGAGATGTTCTTCAGGTGATAGAAAGCCGACTTTGTAATCGCCTTTATGTGGCTCGCAAGGTTCAAGTCCTTACAACTAATATGGCTTGACTTGATTAGAATACTTATGAAATAGTCCATTAAACCCCTTTCTAGAACAGCGGTCTTCAGAATCACAATCAAACAGTACACAAACGGTTCCACACGAATCATTTTACAATTGATCTGTGTCCAAATGGTATTTTCTACCATCACAATGCTAAGATAATAATAACACTTGACAGAGTACCTAAATGAATTAATTTCTAGCTCTGTTTTTTCTTTGCTTTTCACTTTGCCGCTCCACTTTTATCTTTATATAAAGCACCATACATATTAACTTAATTTGTAATAATGCTCCACCTAGTTTGCAATCTGTTAAGTGTCTGCTGATAACATTTACCCAAAATGCACTTGCAATGATCCATTTATAAATGTTTGTGTCATAAAATTAAACTTAAAAATGAAAATAAAGCCATCCGCATAGCACAACATTTTATTCAATATTTTACATCAACTACAAAACTTAAATCAATCGATCTTGTAAAGGTTTTAGCAACAATGACTGAATTCTGACTGGGGCAACCTATATATCCGCCATCCAGATATACTCAGGAGAGTTCCCTTCTGTAGCTCTCCTCAGATGTGATGGAGGCTCGGATCCCATAAGTCCTATCCCGCACTCCCAGCCCTCCCCAAAATTCCATCCCTGTATGGTGTGCTATGTTGCACTTTTCCATGTAAGTAAGAGCATGTATGATTAAGCACAAATTCAGTCAACACAGGTAATTAACACACGCTCTATTAATAATGTACTATACTATACTATAAGTGTGTCTACACCCGCATGCTGTGCCCTCCAGTCAATAGTAAATGATCAATGCAACTTTATTGATGTTAAGGTGTATTTAAATACAGTGACTTGGAAAAGTATTCATACCTCTTGAACTTTTTTATATTTGCCATATTACAACTGCATACATCAATATAGTTTATTGGAATTTATTACAAAGTGTTATACAAATGTGAAGTAGAAGGAAAATATTTTTAAAATATTTTTTAAAAATAAAAAAATGAAAAGTGTGGTGAGCTAAAGGAACTGATTGAGTGCAGTTTCCTTCAGAGGTTTTCTGGTAACTGATAATGACTAACCAGAGTCCAGCTCTGTGTGATCTAATGTCAGTAAAAATCCAGGTGATCTGTGATGCCTCAGACGTTCAGAGAATATTGGGAACAACACAGCACAAAGGTCAGGGAGAAGCTGTGGAGAAATTTAAAACAAACTTAGGTTATAAGACGATTTCACAGGTTTTGAACATATCACTGTTCAATCCATCATATGGAAATGGAAAGAGTCTGGCACAACTGTAAACCTACAAGACCAGCCCATCCAGTTAATCTTCCAAGCTGAACAAGGAGGACTCAGATCAGAGATGCAGTCAAGAGGCCCATGGTGACTCTGGACCAAATGATCCAAAGCTCCGAGTGGGGAATTTGTCCACAAGACAACTATGAGCCTTCGTGGCACAAAGGTGACTTTATGGAAGAGTGGCAAGAAGAAAACCATTGTTAAAAGAAAGCCATAAGAAATCTTGCTAGCAGTTTGCCAGAGGCCATGTTGGACACAGCAAACGTGGAGGAAGAAGTTTTTGTTAGACCAGAACAAAATTGAACGTCCATCCAACCATTTTCTGGCCACCCTTGTCCCTAGTGGGGTGCTGGTTTGCCTATCTCGAGCGAACATTTCAGGCGAGAGGCGGGGTACACACTGGACAGGTTGTGCCAGTCTGTGGCAGGGCAACAGAGAGAAGATAGGACAAACAACCATGCATGCACACACACGCCCGCACGCACGCTTAAGGAGAATTTAGAGAGACCAATTAACCTAACAGTCATGTTTGGAATGTGGGAGGAAGCTGGAGCACCTTGAGAGAACCCACGCATGCACACATGCAAACTCCATGCAGAAAGACCCCGGGCTGGGAATTGAACCCACGACCTTCTTGCTGCAAGGCAACAGTGCTGCCAACTGCACATCTATGCAGCCTAAAATTGAACTTTTTGATCCAAATGCAAAATGCTATGAGTGACAGAGAACTAAGTGTACATCACTCTGAACACACAATACTCGCTGTCAAATATGGTGGTAGGATTATCATGCTCTAGGTGTAATTCTCTTCAGCAGAAACTGAAAAGCTAGTTAGAACTTAGAAGATGCATGGACAATTTTGGAAGAAAGCCTGTTGGAGTCTGAAAAAGACTTGAGACTGGGGCAGAGCTTCACCTTCCAGCAAAACAACCAGCCTAAACATAAAGCCAGAGTACAATGGAATGGTTTAAAACAAAAATATATTCATGAGTTCAAATGGCTCAAAGTCCAAACCTAATCCCAATCCAGAATATGTGGAAAGATATGTGTTGGAGAAATTGTGATATTATTAATCAAATATTTGTTATTCTCATTGATCTTTATAATGTATCTTTATTTTATGCTTTCCCTTTAGTTAATCTTATTATATAATTAAGAATATTTCTGTATTGTTGATTTACTCTGATTACTTTCTCAGAAGGCCTCACTGACGAAAAGCAGAGACAACAGTCTTTCTGCAGTGTTATCTCTTGGGGAAAAGCTCTGCTTCGTTTGAGTTGCTGGATTGCTACAAAACTGTCACTGTGAAGATTGACTAAATATTCTGTTTAACTTTGTGCCTGGAAGGAGATTATCTAGTGCAGAATAATTGTGTGTTAGTTAGTGAATGACATTTGTCGCTGTAGCTGTGTGATGAGTTGTTTCCCCTCCCTTTAGAGCTACAGCATCCTGGTGATTAGGGATCCTGAAAACAATAAAAAGAGAGAAGCAGACAAAATATGCTTCAGAGCGGTATGAGATTGTAACTGAAAGCACATCTCTGTCTGTTCTTCTCAGAAGCAGACAAAATATGCTTCAGAGCAGTAGGAGATTGTAACTGAAAGCACATCTCTGTCTGTTCTCCTCGTGAGTAAGAAAAAATCTAACTCTTTTGTCTTTTCTGTCTTTGTTAATGTATGTTCAACAGGTGTTAACCCTAACAATATGAAAACTGCTGTTCACAAGCATGGTTCCCACCTGCTTCTAATCTGTGTACCTAATCTGACTCAGCTTGAGCAGTTTGGAAACTGGATGATGCGAGCTGCTAGACCCTAAAGACCAGCAGCCATAACTTCAGCAAAACGAGGTTCCATAAAGTATTGACTCAGGGGCCTGAATATTTTTGCACACTGCACTTTTCAGGTTTTAATTTGAAAAAAAAAAATTGAATCATGAATAATTTTCTTTCAACTTCACAATTGTGTACCATTGTGAAGTCAAATCAGGAAAAAGAAAAAAAATGCGCTCACTGTGTTCCACACGGACCTAAATGAGGGACGAAAAATGCAATGGAAAAAAAAGCGGAAGAGAAAGCCAAACAAAGAAGACGAGAGTTTGAGGCTCTTTGACTCGCACAGATCTGGATGAATTCATAGACGGGCAGAGAGGCAGCCAGTAAAAGACGAGCTGTATTGTTTGAGATTGGACTGCGAAGTTACCCACGATCCTCCTGTCGGACTTCCAGCTTTAACTGCAATTAGCATCATTAACCACAACACGGCTGAACTGAAGCGGCGTTGATTAATTGATTTTTAGAATTGAACTGATTGTTGTGTTGTTGAATAGTAATTTAGGTGTTAAGCTTAACTTTTTATTAATTTAGCATTTGTTAAGATTTAGAGGAGAATATCTTCACTTTGCTCGTCAATTTTCCTCTGTCCCAGGTTCTTGAGTCTTCACGTGCACAGGGGAAAGAAGAACAATCATACGACAAACGGACTTCAGATATCTAGAGCTTTATCCAGAGAATTCAATGCAAACAGAATGTCACATACGCATCACACCCAGATTATCAAAAAGTCCCACACATAGTAAAACAAATACCTGCAACGAGTTGAAAAGAAAAGACAAAAAATGCATTTTTGCGGAATTGCTCACTCGGACTTAAACAAAGCAATTCGACTCTTCTGCTGTGAAACAAAGCTTTTATGAAATATTTTAAAAGTAAAGTAGTTTCCTAATTTTATTGTGTTTCAGTAATATAAAATGCATGCAAATAGTGTGGTTAAAATTAACTAATTAATTGTTTAGTGCTTAAGGAAATCTCTTAATACTTTTGGTTGTACTTTGTAGAAGACTTTTAAAGTTTTAATGTTCTACTGAACTTTTGAATCGAGACTTAAGAATTTCTTATCCTGATAACAGACAGACTCCCTGCGCCTGTCTGAAAACCCTCCTTAGAAATTTAAGGAAGTTTAGAGAGTCACCAGTTGTTTTAGTTTGGATCTTTATCTAAGTTTACCTAGTCGCAAAGTCTACTCCCAAATATTCATGCAATATTTCATACGCATAAAGGCTAGCCTGTCTTTACAGTTACTCTCACTAAAATTATATTTTCAACACATTACATTAGGAAGAATAACAACTTAAATCTATTTACATTTATGAAATAAATATTTATGATTAATAAAGAAAAGTTAGATATTTGTATATTTAAATAAATGTAAATATTATGTAATTGTAAAGATGAATTTTAAATGTATTTTAAGGTTAAGGAACTTAAGTTTAGTTACTTGTTCATTTAACTTTATTTACTTTGTGGGTTTGATTCACAGTGAGTTGCTTAGTATTGTTTATATGGTTTATTTTCTTTGTAGTTTGAGTGAAATTAATTTGTGTAAATTTACAGACAGTTAAGTCATTATTTATCTTTTTTCTTTTGGGTTTGTTCTAAGGTTTTTACCTGTGAAAATGTCCTGACATACACTGAATGTGTATGTCAGGACACACACAGGATAAAATGAAGAAAACTGCTTGGTCCTTTGAGTAAAACCCTGTCTGAAAGTGTACATCAATTTATCCATCCCTTCTCAAGTGAGGAAGCTGCACAAATTAGAAAAGAACTTGACAACCATTTTGTCTTGGTTTTTCACATTAAATTCCAATAGAATATATTTATGTTTGTGATTGTAATGTGACAAAATATAGAAAAGTTCAACAGGTATGACTAATTTTACAAGCATATGCAAGTCAGCTGGTCAGCTTGTGCATACACAAGATTTATAAAGGAGACACCAAGTGACTTCCAAAAATAATGGAAGGCAATCTTACTGTAATGCTCTGTGCTCTGCAGCACAGAGAAAGACTCTCTCTCATGGTCTGGAAGTTTTTATCTTTAATGTACCTTTGGGTTTTGCAGGAGCATCAAGCCCTGGCTGCCTATGTGAGGATACTGTTGTACCTTCCATCCTTCCATCTCCTCTGATCAAGATTATCAAATTTAGCGAATTGAGCTGACAGGAGTTGGAGGGAAGCGAGTTTAAACGGATAAAGCACCAAATTGCAAGGGGACAGGAAGTGCAGAGAAACAGAGAGAAAAAAGGTCAAACTTTCAGGCGAACGCAGCAAAATGTGCCAAACTTACTGATTGTCATTGCTATTGTTATCACAAGTTTGACTGTAATAGGAGAAGGAGAATTAGCTATTCAGGGGGGGCCGTCAGAGGTTGAGGATGAAAAGAGAGACGTGACCCAGGAAGGTAACCAGAGAAATAACATGAGCAAACTTCTTCTTGTTTTTCATATTTTATGGGGGGCCATTTGTTTTACATGAATATATAGTTATTTTAGGGGAATATTGTGTATTGATATTAACAATATATAAATAACCCCTGGTTAAGCTCCTTATTTTATGTGTTCCTTTTTAGCACTTGTTGCCTTTATTTTGTTAGTTGACTTTTTTTTTTAAATTAATTCTTTTATTTTGATGAGAGAACTTTTGCTGTCTATGTTGAGCAGTGGCAACTTGGCAACAGAAGGAACGGAAGATAAGTGGCAGCACTGTTATAAAATGTATCTTGTTATTAGCGGCCTCCTTGACAGAGGCACAAAGTACATTTATCTTGTAACTAGGATATTTCTAATATTGGTAAATTGGAATTGTGATTTTTGCTTTATTGCAATTAAATACGGTATAGTTTTTGAATCGGTTGAGGTTAGTAACTTACAGTACACTGTCTTTTTGTGTTTGTGGAACAGGCCTTACGGTGAAACTTGTGGTTTATTTCAGTAAACCTGGCTGTTCATCAGTAAAGCCAAAATCCTTCATTTGGGGTGTCTGCTATTGTCATGGTAGAAGCTACACGCTTAACCCACATGCAGATGGTCAAACAGGAGATGCGATTTGGTAAAATGAATAAAGTTTGTTGAATCAAAAAATTAAGATAGAGAGTCTGTAATGTGTCTCAGGGGGGCCTTGGGTGAGGGTCGTCTCCGCGCTAAATACAGGGAGAGAGGTGGTAAGTGTAATAATTACGGATAACCAACAGGGTTCAGGAACGGGCTTACTGGTGAGGAAGAAGTCTCCGCTGGGAAGTGGGTGACTAACTGGAGGAGGGGCCTGGTCTGGATCAGATGGTTGGTGGCTGATGGATTTGTTGTTGGAGGGCGGGCAGGTAGAGAGCAGGTTTCGGCCAGTCTCGGCGGTTCTTGAGTCAGACTTAAAAGGTCTCAGGAAGAACTTCTCCACAGCTCCACGGGAGGAAACCCTGTGAGGAGAAATATCAGAATAATCTCAGGTTTGCTTGAAAAACGTAGAAAAAACACTGACACCAGGTTCAGGGGGCTCTGAGTACCCTTGTAACAGCGTTTTCACAGGCCTGTCCAACAAATCAATCAAACAGCTGCAGCTAATCCAGAACGCTGCTGCTCGCGTTCTCACTAAAACCAGAAAGATAGAGACATAACACCAGTTTTAAAGTCTTTCCACTGGCTCCCTGTAGCTCAAAGAATAGATTTTAAAATACTGTTGTTAGTTTACAAAGCACTGAACGGTTTAGCACCACAATACATCAAAGATCTGCTGTTGTTGTATCAACCTTCCAGAACCCTCAGGTCTTCTGGTTCTGGTCTGCTTTGCATCCCCAAAAGAGGAGAAGCAGCTTTTAGCATCTATGCACCAAAAATTTGGAACAAACTTCCAGAAAACTGTAAAACAGCAGAAACACACCTGTTTATTTAAAATGTAATATGTAACAACGTATTGTTTATTCTATGTTGCATGACTTTGTGTTCTTGTGTTTATGATGTAAAGCACTTTGAAATCCCTTGCTGAAATGTGCTATACAAATAAAATTTGATTTGATTGGCGGTTAACACTCAAGCGCTGGAAAACCGACCTCCCGCTCTTCTGATGCTGACGGTGATAATGCCGATTACGCACAGGTGCGCAGGATACAGCCTCCAACAACTGCCAACCTCTGGCTCCATCTGGTGGAAAAGAAAAAGGTTCCCCACCAAGCCTAGCTTCAACACCCGACAGCTGCAGCATATTTCATCAAACCCTGAAAAGACATCTCACAGAGTGTTCTTTCAAAGACAAAAAGGCATCAAGGTTCACTAAAAAGAGTCATGCTTCATCACCACCAATAGGATGCACCTGTTTTGCTTCTCCCAAAACACAAAGTTTACAAAAAAGCTCTCCCTCTTCAGATGCCAAATAAGCTGCATTTCCCTCCCAATTCTTTTTTTCTTTTGCATAATGACCAGTTGTGTGCACCTATAGTTTGTGAAGTAGAGTAATCGTAACGGCTTTTTTTTCTTCATGTTGGCCGCATTTTCTGTACTGACTATTTATTTTTCTCATTTTCAGCCCTGACCTAATTGAAAGGGAAAACTTAAGGCTTACAAAAACTTTGTATTTTCTGTCCTGGAAGGTATTTTAAGAAGCTGGTTCAGTTGTAAAGCAGGTTAAGTTAACCTTGTGGTATAGGTAAAGCACCTAATTTTCTTAACTAAATGATGCGGGCAGGTATATCTATTAGCAGGTTTAATTTCGCCTGCACTTGGTTGTGTACATTATTTTAAGTGTATTTGACAAGTTTACCAAAATATAAAAAATGTCATTCAAACTGCATTTGCCTTGTTTTATGTTTTACATATACTTGTCATTGCATTACTTGAGTGCATCCATTTTTACAGTAATTTCCAGACTTAAGTACAAGACGTTTCAGATACTTTGACTTTAACTCAAGTAACATTTCAGTCAGTGACTTGGACTTTTACCAAAGTCATATTTTGGAGAGGTACCTACTTTTACTTGACTCTGAGATTTCAGTATTTTATACAACACTGCATTTCAATCCTAAAGATGTTGTATTTATATGAATGGTTTGTTGGAGAAAAAAAGGTATCAAGGCTTATTTAAGAAATAAAGGAAAACATTGTTTCAAACAATATTCCTGGAACATTGCTCTGGAACAAGTTTCATAGCAAACCCCTAAGGTTGCTCTGGAAAGGTATTATCTTGTTTTCTCTCCTGGTGGTATCAGATTTCTGCTGTTTTAGAAAAGCTAGATTTGTTTCTGTGTTTCTATAGCAGAGCTCCACCTTGCAGTGTGTATCTGTAATTTGTCCTAACAGATAGGACAAATAAACAGCACTGATCACACCTGGCTGAAGATATACTTTAGGATAGACTTACACAAAAATAACAAAAAACCCAATACAATTATCTCCTTCTGTTTTCCCCTGGGGAGAGATTTTGTTATTACTGTAAGTTGAAGGAAGATTTAAGAGTTTGCCATTCTCAAAGCTTACTAAGAGGGATACCTGATGTCTGCATATGAAAAATGGGAAAACATGTAATTACATCACCTTGGTCCCTAAGGATACACCCTGCACTTGTGTTTAAATTAATTCTTCAAATGTCCTCTGCTTGACATTTCTGTGAGGAAGTTGGAACCCAATCAGGCTCTCACTTGTGAAAAGAAACCCCATGGGGTGGAACATGCCCAAAGCTATTTTTCCCCACCTGCTCAAAGCAGCTTTTTCCTCCACTGTACCTGTATCAGCACAAACCCAAGGTGTCCTTCTCCCTGTTTACAGAGAGACCCCAGGACTCACATGATTAATCACTGCCGAGACACACCACTTCACACCAGTTGAAACAACAGCAGCCTTCACCTTTACCAAACTTAACACTGTTCTTAATTACATTCCCACTTTTAATGAGCAGATCAGAATACTCATAAAGAGCTCTTATCTCATTTACAAATGATCACCACCCTAACTAAAAATACTATATTATATTGTATGACGAGTTTTGCCATCAGAGGGCGCTCAGTGCCATGTGCACCAGGAGTTGACGCTCTGGCTGGCAGAAGAAGTTGACCATTGCTGAGGAAGCTAGAAGACATAACGAGCAGCTACTATGGGCTCTTTGCATGTCAGCTTCCACTTTGAGAAGGACCTCGCTGCAGCAAACAAAAAGGGGCGGGAATGGACCGTTGGTAGTCTCATACCTTATTTGGAAATGGGATCACTCCAGAAGTAAGGGGGGCGCTATTTCCTATGTTATCCATGATCTCCCGGTTTTATTTTCTTTTGATATCTGTGATATATTTTCACCTTTATGACGGAGTTGTACTCTCGGCATGTATTTGAACTTTTCTCTTTTATTTACTTTAACACAGCTCACAATGTTTAACAAATTCTATTGCTTTCTGTGTATGTCCTTGTTTCTCTTCAATCTTGTTAGATCGGTGATGACAATGCATTTCTTGTTAGCAAATCAATAAAAATTTTGAAGATGAACCATGACTAAGCATGATAATTGAAGCTGGTATGTAAAAGTATGGATTTAGGCAACAAATTACCCAATATATATTTACTGGTAAAAGACAGTACAACTTCTAAGGCAGCTTAAACAAAAATACTTTCCAGGCAAGAGACTTTTCTGGCAATTGAACTGCTTTTAGTTCTGTCAATAATCATTTAAAAACCTGCTTCTATTCACCTTATTCCAAGCCCCCATGAGGCTTTCCGTCATTTATGGGCGCGACTAAAGCCGCTAACCGGAACCGCCCTAAGTTTACATATTAGCAACTCGCTAACCGGCTTTCCACAGAGACTTTAGGCTATTAAATATGTGGGAATGTAACCAAGAATAGAATTCACTCGGGTTCAGATAGCAGTTTACTATCAACCAGTTAGATTTATTACAAAATTACTGGACTGAAACGCATTCAACCTCATATTAACTCATTCTGAGTTTATCTCACAAATAAACAAAACAAACAACATTTACTCCAAACATGAGTGGAACACTCTCAAGGTCCTTGGTAAAAGAAAAATAAAAGAAGCTGGCCAGCAAAACAAAAAAAAGTTCATATAGAGCTCTATATGTGTGTGCTGCATACGCCAAAGATGGATGCCAGAGGTGGTCCTGACTGGGATGGCGACCCAGAATGAAGATGGCGGTCGGCGTCTGCAGACACAGGAACTTCGCGGCCTCCCTCTCTTCCTCCACAGGAACACGAACACCTTCCTAATTGTTGTGTCTACCACTAGCAGGAAAACATGAGGCATAAAGGAATCAGGCGATGTGCAGAAGCCGGACAGACACTGGCACGTCTCAGTTCTGCAGCAGCTCTGAAACTTCTAAGCCCGGGAGTTGCCCTAGCAACTAGCGAGCTCCATTTTAAAATAGCATTTAAGATTCTTTATCAAGAATATACTTTATAAAATAACATGCACCTTATGTACAACAATAATCATTTTATATTTTCCGGAACATGACAAACTTAACAGTCATTTTAAGTCACAATTCCCACAGTAAAACAGGAGTTTGGTTTCTAAAACATTACCGCATTAGCGACAACTTAATACATAAAATCAGAACACATACAACATTATAAATCTCTGATAATGCTCACCTAGCAGGAAAACATGAGGCATAAAGGAATCAGGCGATGTGCAGAAGCTGGGCAGAGACTGGCACGTCTCAGTTCTGCAGCAGCTCTGAAACTTCTAAGCCCGGGAGTTGCCCTAGCAACTGCAGTCAGAATGCTGCCGTAAAGTACTGCCGTACTTTGCTCTTAAAGGGGTAGTACCCACAAAGTAAAAGCAATACAAACAAAACAAATAACACAAACTACCCAAATATAGCTGGGTTACAGGAACTCCAGCTATCACAGCTTACATGTGGGAACATTGTTTTTTCCTGCACTCCAAGCGCTAGTTATTTTAAGAATGCTTATCAGTGCCCCGAAAAATGACAAAGACCCAGACGTTATTAACAATAAATAAAATTCTCCGAGGCAGAACTTGAAAACTGGGCAATAAGCTACTAATACGTAGCTTTCGTCAACGTCGCAGGCGGAAGTGAGAGCGTTCGCAAGCAATAACCTGGCCGGAACACGGTGCATCAAATAATAAAATATAACTCAATGAAGCTTTGATAAAACTTTTGATAAAATTTCCACAATATATTTTAATAATCGAGGTACTAAAATCACTCGAGAATGCCTATTCTCAACCCTGAACAAGAATGTTTTTATCAATCAATCAATCAATCAAATTTTATTTGTATAGCACATTTCAGCTACAAAGCATTTCAAAGTGCTTTACATCATAAACACAAAACAAAGGCATGCAACATAGAATAAATTACCAAGTTTTTTTTAATTTTTTTTTCTCCTCCTTTCTCCCTTTTCCTTCCCCTTCTTCCCCCTTCCCTTTGACACGGAATTTAAGCGCCTGTTACCGCCGGACTCCGCCGTCCGTTTAACCACGGGTATTCGCCGGGCCCGTTGCCCATAACAGGAAAAAAAAAAAAAAAAAAAAAAATTCATACATATCCACAAAATCAAATCCATATGTAACCCAGGCTTTCCGACCCTAAATCTGCAATCTGCAACTGATGGAAGACACCCTAGGCTCTGCGTTGTGTTTTATGGTGAAGGCGGGGTGTGATCCGTGCAGGGGCGGAATCAGACACAGGGCTCTTCAGACTTTCGCGCTTTTATTTCATCCACCCTTGCAAGCAATAAACACACTGTAAAGAATACAGCGGATCGCGCACAAAAATACCCTGCACTACGGAGTCCCCAGCAGGACAAACATGTTACAATTGCGATAGTGCAGTAATTACCGAGCGCAACAGCACCCTCTTTTGGAATGTCTATACACTGCTTTACATCTACCCCTTCTTTATTTGATGGCGTCTCTGCCATAAAACTAAACAGAACATAAGAACAATTAACTGAAAGGACCCTTAACAGTCTTATCAACAATAAAGTGTATTTCTCAGATTTATCTTGTACGATATGGATGTTTGTGTGTTGTTTGATGTTCTATGTGTGCCTGTGAGTTCTCTTTGCCTTTTCCCTCTGCCACAGCTTCCATCCTCCTCTATCTTCTCTGCTGCTCCTCTTCTGTTTTTGTGACCTGTGATTCATACGACAGCTTTGGAGGACGTCTGGTCCTAGGTGGGTTTTTTCTTGGAATCCCACTGCTCTGCTGAATCCAGACTGCCATGGGGTGCATTTTCTCCTGCTTTATCCCCTTCCTCGTGGCTGGCTTGTTTGTCTTTTTGGTTAATTTCTCCAAGCCACAGAGAAGGTCCAGTTTCCTCCATGCTGACTGCATCTGCATTCTGTTGAAGGTCTGCCTCTAAACTGGTCTCTTTTAGATCTAAATCTGATTCCTCCCCCTCAGCTGTAGGTTTGCCTACCTCCTCTACCGGGATAAACATGCACTGGGTGAGAAGGTTTCTGTGAACCACTCTTTCTGGGCCACCATCCTCCGGTTGTACCACGTATACTGGTATTTCAGGCTGTTTCTTCACTACAATATATGGACGCGTCTCCCACTTGTCTCCAAGCTTCTGCCGTCCTTCCACATGACATATTTTGACCAGCACCCGGTCCCCTGGGCTGAACACTTGATCCTTTGCTTTTTGATCATAGTACTTCTTTTGTTGTTCCTTGGCAATCCTAGAACTGTGATTAGCCTGTGCATAAGCCTCCAGCAGGCAGTCATGTAGTGTCTGCACATAGTCACTGTAGCCAGCTTGGCTATCAGAAGTTGAGGTCCCAAACACCAGATCCACTGGAAGTCTGGGATGTCTCCCAAACATTAAATAGTAAGGAGTGTATCCAGTTGAGTCATGTCTTGTGCAGTTGTAAGCATGGGTCATGGCATCCACATATTCATGCCACCTCGGCTTTAGGTGAGGTGGCAGAGTTCCCAGCATATTCATTAGAGTCCTGTTGAATCTTTCAGTGGTCCCATTGCCCTGTGGGTGATATGGGGTGGTGTGGGTCTTAGTAATCCCAGTGATCTTGCAGAGTTCTTTTACAATTGCACTCTCAAAATTGCGTCCTTGATCTGCATGGAGCTTTGCTGGAAAACCGAACCGGCAGAAGAAATTCTTCCACAGAACCTTGGCTACAGTGCGTGCTTTTTGGTCTTTGGTGGGGTACGCTTGTGCATAACGAGAAAAGTGATCTGTTACAACAAGCACATTTTCAATCCCCCCTTTTGATTTTTCCAGGCAGAGAAAGTCCACACACACAAGCTCCATGGGTGCATTGCTATGGATGCTGACAAGGGGAGCTCCAATACTGCTTGCGGGGGTCTTCCTGAGACAACATCTTTCACACTGCTCGCACCACAATTTAACTTCCAGGGACATATTTGGCCAGTAGAATCGCTCTCTTATCAGCTGTAGAGTTCTCTCAAAGCCTAAATGACCTGAATCATCATGCAGTGCAGTTTTAGCCATCACCCGCAGCTTTTCTGGTAAGATGAGCTGCTCAATGCGTCCTCTTTGCCCATCTGTGATTACTCTGTATAGGATGCCATTTCTGATCACCAACCTCCTCCACTCTTTTATGAGAAGGCTCCCATGTCGGCCCAGGCTGATCCTCACACTTCGAGGTGGTTTTTGTTAATATTTCTGAAGTACAGAACTTGGCTAATAATGGGGTCAGCTTTCTGTTCTCCACGGATTTGTTGAGTTGTCATTGCTGGAAGTGCATCTGTTCCCACATCCAAATACAACTGATTCACTGCTGGGAAAACACAGCTATCTTGCACCTTTGAAACCACAGTGTTTCGGATGTATGTTGAGGCTCTGGAAAAAACTGGGGCCCTGGAAGGTTTGATTTAGAGACCTTGACATGTTGAGGGCATGACTGCAAGATCTGTGTGACTTCCTGGTTGGACATGCGTGAAAGAGCATCAGCATTGGCATTGTTCTGTCCCCTTCTGTACTGGATGTCAAACTCAAAAGACGATAGCTGGGAGACCCATCTCTGCCCTGTGGCGTCAAGCTTGGCCGTTGTCATAACATATTTGAGAGGGTTATTATCAGTCAAGACAGAGAAAAAACGTCCATATAGATGGTCATAGAACTTGTCTGTGACTGCCCACTTTAGGGCCAGAAATTCCAGCTTGTGTGCTGGATATCTGGTTTCAGGTGGGCTTAAGCCTCTGCTGGCATAAGCTATGACTCTCTCGACCCCATTCTGGACTTGAGCCAACACAGCACCCAGTCCCTCCCCCGAAGCATCGGTCTGCAGCACGAAAGGTAGGTTGTAGTCTGGATAGCCTAGTATTGGCGATGCCACCAACCTATCCTTTAAACGCTGAAATGCCTCTTCACACTCATCAGTCCACAGATAGGGTCGCTCAGAATCAGTGTGTTTGTGTCTTTCTCTTTTTCTTTCTAGGATCACCAGAGGTGAGTCGGTACAAGGGAGCAGCCAGCGTGGAATAACCTTTCACATAGCGTCTGTAGTAGCCTGCAAATCCCAAAAACTGCAGGACCTCTTTACGATTAGTGGGCGTTTTCCAGTTCTTAACCTTACTGATTTTCTCTGGATCTGTCTTGAATCCCTCTGCAGACACAATGTGGCCCAGATATTGCACCTCCTTCTTCACCAACTGACATTTTGAGGGTTTTAACTTCAAACCATGTTCTTTCAGTCGATCAAAAACCAGCTGGAGGCGTTCCAGATGCTCCTCAAATGTTTTGGAAAATATTATGAGGTCATCAAGATAAATGAGCAGATGAGTGAAATTCAGGTCGCCAAAACAGCATGTCATTAGCCTCTGAAACGTCGACGGGGCATTCTGGAGCCCGAATGGCATTCTGTTGGCCTCAAAAAGCCCCATGGGCGTGCTGAATGCAGTTTTGTGTTTATCATGCTCTGCCACTTCCACTTGCCAGTAGCCTGATGTAAGATCCAGTGTGGAGAAGTATTTAGCTTGCCCCAGTGCCTCCAATGCTTCTTCAATTCGTGGCAGAGGAAATGCATCGCGTGTTCTACAGGAATTCAGTTTTCTGTAGTCAATACAAAGCCTTAATGACCCATCTTTCTTAGTAACAATCACCACTGGTGATGCATATGGGCTTTTACTTGGCCGGATAACTCCTGCAGCTTCCATCTCTGTCAGGAGGTTCCTCACCTCTTGCCACTGAGAAGGGGGGATCTTACGATATGGAAGACGAAATGGCTTTGAGTCTACCAGAGGGATCTCATGCCTCACAGTCTTTGTATGGCCATAATCCATGGAATTCTGGGAGAAGACATCCCCATTTTTCTCCACTAGTTTTCTGAGGAGAGCACGC